GTTTCTTTTTGCATACTCTCGATGCTACCCGTCTATATTTTTTCTTCTCTTTTCACGCATTCTTCGCGTTTAACGCGCGCGCATTCTTACGCATCCGGCGATCTACGCGTGTCCGGAGAAACGCTGTTAACCCTTCGGGTACTATACTCCTTTCCCCTTCTAGGATCTTTCGAGATAAAACGCCACTATAGTGCCTTTCTCGTGATGGATATCTCTTTATTGCTTGATAGCGAGTTCTACGCTCGCTTTTATTATCTTCATTTTCTTTACTTAAAACTTTATAATTTATTACTGATCCAAGCCTTGAACACGACGCGACACAATAGACTGACATTTCTTTTCCGATTCGAATTCTATTGTGTAAAACGTGTTTTTTCATTCGCAACTATACTTGTATTTTCTTTCATATTTATTATACAGAGAACCGTTCGTTTTCGAATGCTATACCCTGCATGAATCGAGATCAGAATAATGGCTTTCGTCGAATGGTGGAAATCGATTTTAATAGCGTATACGGTTCTCCGGATACAGCCTCCTATTAGAACGCGATCTGACGCGAATCAGAGAACGCCGTCGAATAATTGAAATCTATCCTTTCTCTATCGGGTTTGGTTTCTATAATATTTTTTTTGTTCGTTTGTTTCATTAGTCGAGCAACAGCAACCTCGACCACCTATATAGGAGAATAACAAATTCGATTAACGAACGACCCGAATAATAATCGTGACCAGCACGGTTACCCGAATGTTCTGCTTAACGCCAATTATCTTCGATCGTCTGAATTATCTTTTTTCTTTCTCTGCTGGTTCGTGTATCAAACGAATACAAACGTGTATTAAAAGAGTACAAACAGCTGTCGCGACACGACGATAAATCGACGTTGCTTCGTAGCCGAAGAGAGAGACCTCGTTGCGAAAACGCGTTAACCCAATTAGAGACGCGGACAATGACGAATCGTGCTGTTTTCAAAACGCTATCTCTTATCGACGAACAATACCCATGGTCGGATGCAGCGCTCACAGGGTTTCTTTGTCCCTCGATGCATCCCCAAGACGATTCTCCTCGTTCTTGAACCGTTCGTGATAAAATTGCGAAAAGAGTCGAGAATATCGTTCACCGGTTCATCGCCTCTTCCTTTTTCATTCTTTCTTCCCCTTTATCGCGTATTATTACATTTCGCTTCTCGAACTCGAAACTGTCCATCGCTATGCCGCACATCCTCGTTATATCTTCTGTCTTCGTGGTTCTCTGTGCTCCGGAGGGATAATACGCGCATATACCTTGATAATTTCGACAAGAGTGAACCATCGAATCATGTTACAAATGCGCGTAGGTCAGTTCCTCGGAAATCGAAGCGATCAAAAGCTCGGTGCAATAGTGGAATTTATTTTTGATTCGAATTTCGTGGAACATACACAGGCGCAAAAGCTGTGTCGAGTCGTGGAACAGGTGCGGAAAGCATAATCGGGTTTGCCTTCGCGGAAAATCTTTATCCGGGTATTGTTTCGCTGGCACAAAAGCGTCCTCGGCACGGAATGCCGAGCATTGCGCATAGTCGATACGATACACGACAATTCGATACCTAGAAAGCGATCTTTCTTCGTCTTTCCTCCTCGTCTCGGCATCGTCTATCGATAACCAATTTCCGGTGAGCGTAATCGATCGAGTGATCGATCGGTGCTCGCGTTTCCTCGACGCATCAGCAATTTTGCCAGCGATTAACCTCGTTTCTGATTCGACGACACGATACGGGTGGTCCTGACGGTTCGGTAATCGAGGAAACGATAAAATTTTATGAATTCTCCGGCGAAATGCTCGCTCGGACGCGACGCATCGAACTCTCTGGAGGACTCGAGGGAGAGAGTCGAACGTTCGGACAGGTCGGTGTGTGGTAGTGGTCGAAATTCCGAAATTCCAGACGCGCCGAAGTGTTATCTAACTGAACGGAACAGCGTGGCGCGGCGTCTGTTGGCGTGAGTACAAACAGCTGTCGCGACACGACGATAAATCGACGTTGCTTCGTAGCCGAAGAGAGAGACCTCGTTGCGAAAACGCGTTAACCCAATTAGAGACGCGGACAATGACGAATCGTGCTGTTTTCAAAACGCTATCTCTTATCGACGAACAATACCCATGGTCGGATGCAGCGCTCACAGGGTTTCTTTGTCCCTCGATGCATCCCCAAGACGATTCTCCTCGTTCTTGAACCGTTCGTGATAAAATTGCGAAAAGAGTCGAGAATATCGTTCACCGGTTCATCGCCTCTTCCTTTTTCATTCTTTCTTCCCCTTTATCGCGTATTATTACATTTCGCTTCTCGAACTCGAAACTGTCCATCGCTATGCCGCACATCCTCGTTATATCTTCTGTCTTCGTGGTTCTCTGTGCTCCGGAGGGATAATACGCGCATATACCTTGATAATTTCGACAAGAGTGAACCATCGAATCATGTTACAAATGCGCGTAGGTCAGTTCCTCGGAAATCGAAGCGATCAAAAGCTCGGTGCAATAGTGGAATTTATTTTTGATTCGAATTTCGTGGAACATACACAGGCGCAAAAGCTGTGTCGAGTCGTGGAACAGGTGCGGAAAGCATAATCGGGTTTGCCTTCGCGGAAAATCTTTATCCGGGTATTGTTTCGCTGGCACAAAAGCGTCCTCGGCACGGAATGCCGAGCATTGCGCATAGTCGATACGATACACGACAATTCGATACCTAGAAAGCGATCTTTCTTCGTCTTTCCTCCTCGTCTCGGCATCGTCTATCGATAACCAATTTCCGGTGAGCGTAATCGATCGAGTGATCGATCGGTGCTCGCGTTTCCTCGACGCATCAGCAATTTTGCCAGCGATTAACCTCGTTTCTGATTCGACGACACGATACGGGTGGTCCTGACGGTTCGGTAATCGAGGAAACGATAAAATTTTATGAATTCTCCGGCGAAATGCTCGCTCGGACGCGACGCATCGAACTCTCTGGAGGACTCGAGGGAGAGAGTCGAACGTTCGGACAGGTCGGTGTGTGGTAGTGGTCGAAATTCCGAAATTCCAGACGCGCCGAAGTGTTATCTAACTGAACGGAACAGCGTGGCGCGGCGTCTGTTGGCGTCGAGCGTTCCGCCGGTGCCGCCGCTTTTCGCATTAGTCATCGGGTACGAAAGGCGAAAGGCGGTTCTCGTCGTCGTAGTCCAGTTGTAGGCGAGCAAGCGAGCAACGGCAGCAGGTATACGCGTATTTTGTTTCGCTCCAACGACCACCGTAGTTGTCTAAACAACCAACGATTTCCAGGTAGAGAACGGGACAGCCTGGAGAGATAATCCGGTGACTCTAATTGCCTTAAAAAACACGATAACGACACGATCGCGTTATAGTGTCGCACACCCTCTATTGCTCGTTTAAGATCCATTTATGTATGAGGCCATGTTCGTTATTTCGTTGAGAGGCCACCAAAAATTGCACTATGCAGCCAAAACAATCGGACGAAGACGATTAAAAAAATTTCGAATGTATGTTCGAGACGGTAGGTTTACTCGTTCGATGTTCGTGCAACGAACATCGTCGACTCACGTTTCGACGATGCTGCTGTACCCAGTTCGACCGGTGCTCGACGTAGAGTCGAACCTTTACCCGTAAATCTGCTCCGCGAGATTCGTGTGCCCAGTTGGTTGACTTTCGCGAATCGATTTCCTCCCACTCGCGTTAAATTCGGCCGTCGCGTTACGGTAGGTCGTTAACCGACCACCGTGCCTAATATTTACACTCGCTCGTGCATCTCCGTCCATAGATGCGTCCGGCGATATCGACGCCTCTCGATCGAATCTCTTCGATCGGTCCACGAGCGATCTTCCATCGAAACGATTCGACTAGACGTCCTGGCAAGCTGTTGCTCGAATAAAACGGTTGACCCTGAAAATACGTGCGTGCGTATATACTTTCCGTTGGAGCCACGTTGCTCGTGAGGCAAGGTAAAGACGGAGAGAGAGGGGAGAGAAAGAGAGAGAGAGAGAGAGAAAGCGAGAGCCCTTCGTGACAGGACCCCGCCCTGTTGTCGAACCCCCATACCCCGATGTTCTCCGAGAGAGCTCGAGACAGGGCTGCCACCATCCGAAGCGAGTCCCGGGGTGCCGGGCTCAGCCGGTACGCTCCTGCCTCCCTGCCCGTCTGTCCCGGAGCTCATTCTTTCTCTGACCGTCGAGCAGTGCGGATCGCAACGATACACACGGAGAAACGGCGCTCGCTCGGTCGTTCAGTGAACGGAAACGCACGAACGCGTACGAAGAACGCGGTAGGAAACGGAGTCGCGATCGCGCGTACGCGCGGCAACCGAACGGACGAGAATTTTTCACGAGTTCGATCCGGCGAACGATTATCGGCAAGTTTTTGTGCGCGCGCGTTGCTTTTCGGCCTCCCCACGCTCGACTAACCTCGGGACAAAGAGAGCGAGAGAGGAGGTGGTACGCGAGCCAGACGGAAACTCTGTTCTGTTCTGTTCTGTTCGGCGGGAACAAAGGAAGGAAGAAGAGGAACGGTCGGTGCGTCGAGAATCGTCGGCGAGAGATCGGACCGGAGAAGGAACCGATCGATCATCGGCCCGACGCGTATACGAGCCGGCCAACTCTCGCGATTATCCTGCTGCGTCTGCCAAACTGGTTGCCGGTCACGCATCCGTCTCACGGGGGTGAGTTTCGCACCGCGATTATCGCAGCGTCCTCTTCCGGAGTTTATCGTTCTCATCGGTGCGATTTCGAAAAGTTGAAGTGTGCTCGCACGAGGCTTCTGGAGCAGAAGAGTGTCGAGACGACGGCCGCGCGAGGGAAAAGGAGAGAGCCGAGGGGAGAGTATGAAAGAGCGAGCGAGAGAGAAAAAGAGAAAGAACGAAAGAGAGTGAGTGAGTGCGCGCGCGCGCGAGCGAGTGAGCGAGCGAGCGAGCGGTACGCTGGTGACAGAAAGACGGTCGGACGGACAGACGGACGCCGCTTCCCCTCCGCTTCTCTCTCTCGCGACAGTCGGTCGCGCGTTACCGAGCCAAGTGGATGAGTTCGCGAACGCCTCCCGCTAAAAGCTCCGCTGTCTGCCCGATCGTGGGTGATTTCGGTGTTTCGTTGCCCCCTCGAGAGTCTACTCGGCGAGTATCCTCGCGTGTTTCGGCCGCTTCGTCTCTCGTGTCTAGACGCCACGCGCTTCGCGCCGCACACTCGTGTCTGCTCCTCTCAGAATAATATATCCAGTGTTGTTTGTTGTGCGGAACAGCGACGAGGGACGCTCTCCACGGGAAAGTTTCACCCCGTCGCGCCACTTACGACGCCCTCGAGGTGAGTAACAAGCGTCCCGAGTGCCGGGCATTCGCTCGTTTTCGCTCGTTACGCCACGGTGCCATGCCGGCTGGCTCGCGCGCGTGTGCACGCCTCGACCCCGCGTGTGCGGCGCGGTGCGTGTCACCGGCCACCGGTCTCTTCGATCCAACGCGCCTTCTCTTTTTTTCTTCCCCTTTTTGTCTTCCTTCCGCCGTCTTCTCGGCCCTATCGATCCCTTTCGACCAAACGTTGTGCCTACGTTGCTTCGCATTCCTGTCAACCGGTCGTTCCGGCGTGCTTCGAGCGGGATTTCGTGCGTGTACCCCCGCGCCATTTTGAACGTGGCCACCGTCGATCGATATAGCGGCCGTCGCTCGGAGCCGGCTTCCGATTCCTGCCTTTCGAATCGGTTACTCGCGACCGCTCTCGTCCTGTCTCGTCGTTTCGTTAGTATCGTCGGTACGCTGTTAACGTCGAGCGAAAAGAGCCAGGATGGTCGCTCGTCGCGATCGAAGGATCGTCGGGAGCAGCGGCCGGTTACGCCATCTTGATTCCTTCCCCCACCAGTTGCCCGGTATTAACCCCCGAACGATCGACCGTACGCACGATTTCGAGACTACCAGTGACCTTTCCCTCCGGCAACGATCCTTGTCGAATCTTGCAATCGGCTCGCGCGGAACTCCGTCGCGGTTACGATCTCGTTTTTGCAGCCACACGGAACGAGGAGCCACGCGAACGCGAGACGGATATTCCCGTCGCGAGAGAGGCGCGCGCTCGTCCCGCGGGATTCGACGCGGCGCGACGAGAAAACTCGGCGAACGCTTTGTCCGCTTCGCGGATTTAGGCGGATTTAGCGTTCGCCTGTTACCATGGCAAACGAAAGGAGGAGAAGGAGAGGGATAGAAAGGAGATACGTTCTTGCCAGGCCGGGTGCCTTAAACAGAGGCAGGCGACGTGTCTGCCTGCCTACAGTTTCTCTCCCTCTTCTCTTTCTCCTTTGTGCCGATTTTGCATAGCAGGCCTCTACCTGCCGTGCATTTAAAACGCAGTCAAGGCTTCCACGGAAGCGATTGTTGTCGCTCGGGGAATGGCAGTTGGTGGAGAAAGGCCGAGAAAATGCTGGCTGGTTGGCCTAGCCAGCCTTTGCTCTCCGTGCATGCATCTCGTTGCTCCGTTTCTCCGTCGCGTTCGTCGATCCTTGACGTGGCTTTGCTATTCTTTTCCCTTCTGCCTCTCCATCGACATCGATTCCACGAATTTTCTTGCTTGCCTTTGCTTCCCGATTTAGAGTTCCACCGTTTGTTTCTGCGTCAGCGCACCTGCCTTTGGCCCACCGTCTCGGTGCAACGTGCATATGCTCAAATCTGATCGGGTACACGCTTCCATAGTCTCCACGACTGCTTTAAAAGACTAGAACAATGTGGCCAACGACGATCGACGTTTCGCGATTCGTCAGCACGCGAATCGCTGCTTTCTTCCCTTGGTCCGCGCGATCGACGGCAACCAGTTTCAAGCAACGGCGAGTCCACGCGATAACGGGTCGTTAACTTGCCCACATCTGCCTTTCTCTCGTTTACGAGAACGATGGAAAGAGCCGTGTTCCGACTGTTCGGGCAGACGTGCACGCCTTTGAAACGCCTCACGACTCGACCGGTTTTTCGCGAGAAAACTGCCTTCGTCTTCCTCCTCCTCGTCGCTTCCTTCTTTTTCTCGTTTTTCTCAAAAGCACCGATCGCTACGATTCCCCGTTCGCGTTTCATTCTGGCTTCTCGTTAGTTTGGCCTCGTCTCTCGCACCTACCCTTATAAACCGAAAGTTCGAATTTGAAGAAAAATGCTGTTCGCGGAGAACGCGTCGAGACTACTTCCATTTTAACAGAGATCGCCGCAGTTCCCGTTATCTACATTTTGTTTACGGTATATCGTACGGTCGTTGACGTCCTCTCGTTACTGTCTTATCCATTGTGAGCGAGGTTTGCTCGCGTTATCCAAGCCTTTTGCCATTCGTATCCCTATCTTACGGTGTGTTTACACGAGCCTTTTGGACTCGGCTACCAGAGATTTTCACCCTTTGCCGGGCAAAGGTTCGGCTCGCGGTGTTTACACGACTCGAAGGGTGCAGCACGCGCCTGTTCGGCCCAACCGAAAATAGATATCCACTACTCCGGATACGCGTTATATTTTTAAGCTACGTGGCTTTGCTATTCTTTTCCCTTCTGCCTCTCCATCGACATCGATTCCACGAATTTTCTTGCTTGCCTTTGCTTCCCGATTTAGAGTTCCACCGTTTGTTTCTGCGTCAGCGCACCTGCCTTTGGCCCACCGTCTCGGTGCAACGTGCATATGCTCAAATCTGATCGGGTACACGCTTCCATAGTCTCCACGACTGCTTTAAAAGACTAGAACAATGTGGCCAACGACGATCGACGTTTCGCGATTCGTCAGCACGCGAATCGCTGCTTTCTTCCCTTGGTCCGCGCGATCGACGGCAACCAGTTTCAAGCAACGGCGAGTCCACGCGATAACGGGTCGTTAACTTGCCCACATCTGCCTTTCTCTCGTTTACGAGAACGATGGAAAGAGCCGTGTTCCGACTGTTCGGGCAGACGTGCACGCCTTTGAAACGCCTCACGACTCGACCGGTTTTTCGCGAGAAAACTGCCTTCGTCTTCCTCCTCCTCGTCGCTTCCTTCTTTTTCTCGTTTTTCTCAAAAGCACCGATCGCTACGATTCCCCGTTCGCGTTTCATTCTGGCTTCTCGTTAGTTTGGCCTCGTCTCTCGCACCTACCCTTATAAACCGAAAGTTCGAATTTGAAGAAAAATGCTGTTCGCGGAGAACGCGTCGAGACTACTTCCATTTTAACAGAGATCGCCGCAGTTCCCGTTATCTACATTTTGTTTACGGTATATCGTACGGTCGTTGACGTCCTCTCGTTACTGTCTTATCCATTGTGAGCGAGGTTTGCTCGCGTTATCCAAGCCTTTTGCCATTCGTATCCCTATCTTACGGTGTGTTTACACGAGCCTTTTGGACTCGGCTACCAGAGATTTTCACCCTTTGCCGGGCAAAGGTTCGGCTCGCGGTGTTTACACGACTCGAAGGGTGCAGCACGCGCCTGTTCGGCCCAACCGAAAATAGATATCCACTACTCCGGATACGCGTTATATTTTTAAGCTCGCTCGAACCGACCGCGTTTCTGTGGCGTCGCAGTTAGACCCCGTACCGTTTTCGCTCGCACCACCTTTACCGCCACCCTCCCGCGTGCCACGCTCTCAACTTTGCTGTGTTTGCCCTTACGGGACTCACGATTTTCATCGGTCCCGTACGCACGCATTCACGCACGTGCGGAACTGTTCACGCATGCGGGACACGCGTCTGAATACGGGCCGACGATGTCGCCTCATTCTCTCGGCACGCTCATAATTCTCAATTTCGAGAACAGTGGGCCGAGCAGATGTCCTTTTTCGAGGACGAATTATTCGCTCGCCTAGGTTTATTCTTTCGGTGTCCATGTGTGTGTGGAATTAAACGTGTTAGCTCGGTGAAAATAATGGACGATTGATTGGGTATGGGTCCGTGGGAATCGACCGTGTCCTCGCGTACGTTAGGGGAAGAAAAACTTTTTTGTTCGAGCGAGATTTTGTTCTTCTTCTTGGCGTCGACGCGTTGGCTGCCATAGGGGCATCTATAAAAAGCCTATTGAATTAGTTATTATTAAATAATTGGCGAAAGGTGGTAAAGAAGAATACCGAGTCACCAACAACTTCTATCATTTTCCGAGTCCAACGTATTATTTACGCTGAGTCAACTACTTTTGTTGTAATTCTTAGTCATCCAGTGCAGAGTTGGTCTTTGTCATTCATGCCAAATAGACGGCTAAATTTAGAACATCGACCTTTTATACATTCTGAGAGTATCTAGACGATACGCAGGGTTCTATGAGGCTCTATTATTCATTTTATGTAGCGACGATCTGGCGACGTAATGCATGGATATTAGAACACGGGGATATTACAACGCCGGGTGATCCAACACGTGGGTATTACATCGCATGGTGATCTAACGCATACGTGTTACGGTGTATGATCACCTAACACCGCAGGTATTACACCGTGTGATCGTCGTACGCCATGAAAGCTTAAATTTGCTAAATGACCATTCGTAATAAGTAAAGTTTCGGTATATCTTAAGAACCGTGTATGTGTGTGTCTACGTGTAAACGACCAGTGCAACGTGAAAGTGCGTATAATCGTCGATTATGATCGAGTTCCGAGAAAATAAGTTGTGAGTCACGGGATAAACACGTTGAGAACTTGGTATCGTCGTTATCTTTCCATTACCAAGAATTGAAAATTCTTCGTTAATCTCGAAGCCGAAAGGTTCGCTCGTGTTTTGGCCGATCGGTTTCAGTATTGTTAGAATCGTATAAACGACAACATTTTCTCATTAGCACCCGTCGAGACAGTGCCCGTTACGGAATTCAGTTCCCATACATTGTCACGAACGAGCTTGTCGTGACATCGTCGTTAAACCCTTAATAGCCTTCGACGGCAGTGACCCCTGAATGCGCTTATTAATCCATTGAACGGATCCACAGAAAGAAATCTTGTCGTGTGCGTTTCATTCGATGTGCTCGTTGTCCAAGTGAATAGATAATTAATCGAGATAAATCGTGTTTCTAAACCAAAATCGTGATCTGTCTCTCTGGTAAGTTATCGTGACTCGTTCATAAAATATTTGCTATTCTTTATAAAACATCATGATTCATAGAGTATCGTCTTATCGCTTTGACGCGCGAATATTTCTTTTCTCGATTTTCTCGTGTTTGCGCTCGCAATCGAACGCGCTCGTGTGTCGTGTCATGCTCCAGGACTCGGAAAATGATAAATCGAGTTAGGGTGCGAGTTACGATTAATTTTCGCATTGTAATTAATATTAGATAGAGTGGCTAAAAATATATGACTTGCTTGAAAATTCCGAGTACACGAGGGTGGTAGATCATTACGTGACTCGGAGAAGCGGCGCGATTACGGTGAATATTTGCGTTGTTTTCAGAAAAACAATTATTGTTACCGTAGCGAGTCGTTGAACCGGTGTCTCGAACGTGAATCGAGGAAACGAGTGGTTTCAATGGCGCGACCGATTTCCTTTTGTGCTCTTTAGTTCCACTATGTTTTACACGTTGACACGTATACCTGTATCTATTACGAATTGTGCAACACTAAAACGCTTTCGGTTTACAAACGTGATGGTCATCAATTATCAACTCGAAGAGGTCGATTTTCATTCTTAATTGTACTTAGCACTCTCAAATTTCTCTGCCTTCCACTCAGCCTTTCCTAGTTTCTTCGTAGGCACTTCTGAACTCTCGCTCAGTTTTCCGTAGACTACCCTTAGGTTCTTTCTAAAATTATAAATAGCAAGTTCTGATGTTTCATATATAAAATCTTGTGCATATCGTGGGTTATGCATGGAACATCGTGGCTTGCGTCTTTGTGTTCTGGTGTAAGAGAATAATGGCTCGCAATCAGCCTACCCCTGTTAGTTATGGAAACAACCCCCTCGTTCGTGCCTACTGAATTTCCCCAATAAATTGAACTACTCGTCGCACAAAGGAGCCACGGTTCAACGGAGAGAAAGGAAAAGCGATTAAAAGTTCCGCTTCATTTCGCGTTCGATAAGTCCATAGAATTACGAGAACATCGTGGAGCGGTTCCCTAGGAAAATAGCCTTATATCGAATAAGAAGAACTATTCAACAAGCTTTTAAATCCTTTACGCCGTTTTTGTGTGTTTATAATGATCTTGATGGAGTGCAAAGCATTGAATAAGTTCGTCGAATAAATGGGGAAGATTGAATGACTTTTTTCCGAGGTGCTCGACAAAAAATTCGACACGATGAAATATCAGCGGCCAAGGAAGAAGCCATAGCGGTGAGAAGGAAGCGTATAATTAGGCTGGATCATATATTAGACAGCAGGAAGAGCCTCGACAAATATTTACGTTGTTTCGCCTCTCTTTCTTCCGAGTGCAGCGAAACATATGCAACTTGAAAGGGCTACTCCGAACGATGCGACGGTAAAAAATAGACTTAAGCCATGGCTGGAAGTTATGTACGTACATCGAAACTGCGTTGAGTGGCGAGGCTAAAACACGTGTCGAACTATCGTAACTCGTGGGAAGCGTGGAATCGAGTATCTCGCGAGAAAAACAGCTTTTCCTCTCGTAACTCACGTGCATCCACGATTTATCGCTCCCCGATTGTTTTATTTTTAGCCCTCGCGTCATCGGTAGCGCGCTGATTGTAATTATCTTTCGCCGATCCAGTTGCATTATCAGTGACAAATCACACTCGTAACATTTAATATCTCGCAATTTCACGATTCCTCTTTCGACGGGGCTTAATTTTAAGCTTCGAGAATCAGATTGGCAATCAAGGGAACTTGAAGATTGCTCTGTTAGCAATCTGGGATTTAGCTCAGATTTACATAGGGTTTGTTTCCGAATCGCAAATAGTCGAACGTAGAAGAAACACCCGGTACGTGAAAGACGACCAGCTAACGCATTAGCGCAAGCGTGTTGTAGCTTATAGAGGGACCTCGAAAGTGCAATGCACCGTGAATAGCCTGTGCCAGAGACAAATGCTATTATTCAGTGACAGTGATACTCGCATTCAAGCCGCGTTACTTCTGTCTTAGAAAAGCTGTTCGTATCATTTATCATTAGCGACGTTTAATCGGCACATATATAGGCGGGTCGATCAAATACGTGGTAGCATATTATAAAGTGGACGTCAATAGCAAACTACGATTTAACACTGTGACGGTCGATGACACCATTGTGGGGTTAACGATGCTAGGTATCTTTTTTACCGAAAAGAGGTCGTTATAATGTCATTTCGACTGCGTTATTATATAATACGAGAAATAAATGGCACACATAATGGCACAAATTATCTTTCTACACGTGTTGCGCGTAATTCGGTCTACAGTGAACCGTAGATTGATCGATGTAGGTGTTACGTGCACCGATATCATACGATACGGTCGTTCAGAGTTGTTAGGGAATTTATCAACACCCGCTGGTACTTGCTCGCACAATCGTCTATTTAGTAAGAATTATGATAAGCGAGTTACGAGTACTTAATGCAATTGCGATCCCAACGAGTAATTTTGCAGCGTGTACTCGATTAGTTATTCGATTAAACGCGTGGCTCCGATCGCCGGTGTCCCTTATCCGTCGTTAATATTCAACGGGTTAAACATGCCTGGGAGGCGTATTTCTGACGCAAAGGGTTAAAACAGGCAACATTGACGGTCGTAGGTTCGTGGACGGTTACGTGGTTACCGTTAGAAAGCAGAAAGAGGCAATGCACCCACTTTCCGTTTATTGAAAATCCTTATTCATGAAAACGTCGCATCGCGAATATGTACGACGTAATTCGACGCTCGGAAATGCTCGTCTCGTAGCGTTTCTATCAGCGAATAACGATCGATTATTCGAATCGCGTTCCAGGTTTTCTCCCGTTCCCGGAGAAAAATGGCGATAGGGAAAAGGAAATGCATAGTTAGGTTGGCTCGTTCGTGGATCGAGTTCTCGGTCATTTTTCTCGGTCGCGACGCAAAGTGGCTTGGCTCTCCGGTTGGTTCCTCGCGAGGCGGTCAGCGCAGCGGCGCGTATCCTCGCCACGTGCTCTTTAAACGCTCGTCTACGCGTTCGACTTCGCCTCCTCGTCGTGCTAGTTTTTCGCGATGCTTGCTCGAACAACGGATCGTTTCCTCCTGCGCCGTGAGAGAAGTTTCGAATCGACCTCGGAACCGTTAGCCACCGTCCACTGCTCGCCGACTCTTTTCTGCCGACGATAATTAGATCCGTCCGTTTCAAAGAACCTCTTTCTTCGTCGGTTTTTTCTGGCTTTTTAAACGAACGACCATGATTGTCTCGGAATATGCGCTTGTAGAGGATAACGAGTGTACATTGCGAATAATATCTGCACGTTTGAATATTTTTTACCGTAACTAAAACGGTATCGTCGTTAGTTCGCGATCGGAATCGAGAGTGAACCGTGAACTATTTACGCGTGCAATTCGTTACGACACTCCTGTTGTTCCAACGGTACTTCCGAGGAAGCAATAAGCGTTGATCGACACACGGCGAATCGGTAAAGTTTGAAGGAACGGTTAACGAGAATAACAAATTGGAAAGCGGTACGTAGATAAGTCTGAATCGTTGCCGACGTTGTCGCTAATGCACCGGCTCTGGTCGACGAGGCAAACAACGATAAAGCTGTCACGATCCGTTCGATCGCGGTCAATCATCTCTTATCCAACGTCTTTAGTCGCTCACTTTCGCTGGTCTTGATTGCAGGTCAGTTTTGTTGGACGCGCGACACCTGATCACAGCATCCGGAAAGCGCGGACGAGAGACAGGTGATACAGAAGAAGGGGATAGAGAGGCAAATCGAGTAAGATGGGAGCGAGACAGAGCAGAAGGTCCGTGGACATAACGACGACGCCTAAGAAGGAGGGGATACCTGCTGAAGGAGGTGTCGTCGGTGACGCTGCTGCACCTGGCGATGGCAAGTTGGAAAGGATCGAGGAGACCGACACGAAACCCACCACCAATGGTATAGCGCCTCACACGGACGTGGCCGAGGATAAAGACAAGGATAAGGACGATGCCACGGAAAAAGACAAGGATAAGGAGAAGGTGAGTCTCGCTGGAGGATCTTTCCTTCTATACGCGCCAAATCGAAAGAATAATCGACCAAAAATTACATATTTGTCCTTTCTAGATATAGAAATTTAATCTCTAAGCAAAGTCTACTCGGTTATTTCGTAGTTAATTTTATTTTGGAGCGGTCTTGAATTCTCTTTCGCCAGCGAGCGAATTGCAACGCACGAAGACACTATTGACTCGATCTCGTAATAGTAACGTCAATCGACGAATGTATTTTTTTATCCAGCTTCAATAGACGCGACGTAACGACGTCCGCCGTAAGATGAATCGATCGAATCTAATAACCGAGTCATAGAGAATCGTTTCAAAGGAAATCTCGTATGACACGCGCTCGTGATTACTTTCATTCCAGTCGAGCGGTGATTCATTCAGCGACGAGTTTCCACCAGTTCAAAGAATCGGAGCTTATTGAGTCATGATCCGCGTTATTTTTTACGGAAAACAGTTCGACGGAAGTCGTCGAACAAACTCGTATCGCGGACGTGTGAATCAACCTTTGACTCTTTGTACTCGTAATTACCCGAATACAATAAAATCGACTCGTAAAGTCTTGGACGTGTTCTTTGTTCGTCGTGATTTATTTTTAGATTTCGCATAATTTAATTAGACAAAATTGTTTCTGTCGACGCGTAGGTATAAGCCGATAGAATTTTTATCGCGCGCACAATGGGGCATTAAGTACAGACCTGATCTAAAGTTTGAGCGTAGCACGAGCCATAGTTAACCGGCTCGTCACGTTTCAAATTGAAATGCGATAGACTTTCGTTATATTGCCACCATTATACGGACGTGAATTAGCGACGTCCACGCATCATCGAACGCGTAGTTCGAGAGGTCGACTCGAACGCTGAAGGAAATTCGAAAAGCGGGTGGCTGTCGGGTGCAGGCGCCGGCGCCTCGACGTCGGTCGCATCGAAAGTTCGAACTGTCGCTCTCGTCGAATCGCATAAAGGCATAAACACCGTAGCGTCGGTGTGTATATCGTGAAATACTCTCTCGGCTAGACGAAACTTGATATTTCCTCGATTGAGCAACCCCGGCAGCTGTCATGCACTAGATACGGTAACGCGCGTGGAAAAGAGGAGGGAAACTGCAACAACTTCCCTCTGCCTCTTCCTTTCATTTCCGTTTAACGCGCGGTTTTTCCTATTTCCTTCTGGTTCGGTGCTCGATCAGCGACGCCGCGTGAAATCATCCCGATAGCTTATCGGTGTACGTTAGGTTTAACTTCTACCGTCGAAGCTTCTTTCGCGGTGTGTTTATCGATTACGTTGCCTTTCTAGATCGCGTGTAAAGTTCGCGAGAAAGCGGTGCACTTAATTTCCTGGAAAAGCGTAGTCTTACACGCGGAAACGCCCATTGTGCCACTTAAAAGAGGATTAATGGTTTTACCGTAGAATCGGGAGCGGAATGCATTCGGACTTTAATAACTTATTAAGTGGTGCATACTTCGTATCGGAGGGTAAGAGAAGCGTAGAATTCAGTAGAGATACATGAATACATGAAGGATCTAGAGATATAGAGGTCTTAAGAAATGGGTTATGAGAGCAATCCGGAGATCTAGATTACGCGACGTTAACTTGCAAAATCTCTCAATTTCACTTAACGTTAGAACTATGGTTCGACTCGTATCTTTGCGTCATCCATAAATACACGTTACCGTTTTATAATACTTTGGCCAAGAACGAAAGTGTTAGCCGAGAACACGAGTGATCTCGTCTCGAAATTTTTCTCGCGGAGGCGGATCGAATTCTCGTTCTAACTTTCACGAAACACGAGTCACGCGAACCTGTTGTAACCGTTCGTAAACGCGTTAACGGTCGCGCAACGATTCGCGATCGGTGGATGCGCGCAGATAAGCGAGCGCGACGCGAAACGCACCACTTACCGTGATTACGTGGTTTGTCCCAGATAGATTCGTGGAAAGTACCTATAGGAGTTTCGATTCGTTGAATTTTCACGAGGGAAAAAGCATCGCGATATATACCGTTTTATCGCGTTGGACTCTGCAGGTGTGTGGACGCGCGTACAGGTAACGCGTTCTCGCGACTAACTGTAATCGCGTACGTCCGCGTGTTCTTTGCCGGTGCATACCTAACTGTCCTAGACAAATAAATCTTTTGTTCTGTCTCTGCTCGTCGCTTCGAGTAAAAAGGAAGAGAAACGCGTTCGATTCACGATTGTACGAGGTCAGTTTTAATCGTTTCGTGCCCGAACTCGTTTAACAACCCTTGATCCTTTAACCGGAAAGCGATCATTTGTCTCGATCGTTCTTGGACTCGGTAGATTTCTTCCAATAATGGAATAGATGCTATTTGGAAATTAGTGAATACTGATCAGGTGCACCGAGGTACTGCTTTGCCAACAGCATCTTCGAGATACATTGCAAAATCTCGAGGCAGGTGTTCCTCTTGCTTCTCGCATCGAACACCTGCCCTTGATAGTTTGCCTCGGCGACGCCAGCCAACCAACGTGGTCAGCGATCCTTTATTTTTCGCGCAGCCAGGATCTACGACGCGCCAGGGCCAGTGTTTCGCGAATAATTTCACATGTACAGGGTGCTCGATAAAAAACACTGTCTCGTCAATTCGAGACGTCGTCGTACTCTTAATGGTGGATGTTTCATCGTGTCTCGTTACGAGAGCCCATTTTCATTCTTCTACCCGAGAAACGCCTACGAAATTTCGTAATTTCAAAGATCATTTTTCTTTCGACACCCTGTATCGAGTCGGTTCACTGGAAGCATCGGGCCTTACTTTCGTAACCTTGACCATGCAATTTAACCACACGATACACCATCACGAGCTATGGCGGGCGATCTCGCGTGTTCCGGTGGTTCAATTAAAATACAATTTCGGAGTTACCCCGGTATGCGGGTCGATGCAAGTAAAATTACGTTCACGAGGTTTCTCTCCGCTCGTCGATGAAAGTTCTCTCGCGATTAATCGCGGCATATCCACGTTACCGAGTGACCTGAATTCCACGCGTATAGAACGTTTTATTTCGCTGGATGGATAGAGCGTTGCTCGAAGGAAACACGCGATGTTGTTTTAGACGTCGGCTCGCGTTAACGTACACCGTGCTCGATGGACGCTTTTTGCGTGAATCATCGTGCTCGACACCAGCTCGGTTTATTAATTAATACGAGACGCGACTCGCCTGTTTGCTTCCATTAATTAAAACTGCGTGCCGCTTGAATTCCATCCTGTACATTCTTCACGGACACCGATGACAATGTCTGCGAGCAAACTTTGTCATCCTCGCGAAACGAGTCTCCGTATAATTTTATTCAATTTATAAGTACTCGACATTCTCTGGGACCCTTCTAATGGCGAGAGACTCGTTTGCCCTTACCGAGAAAAGGCTAGTATGCCAGTCGTTGTACATCGTAGAAACGTGCAGAGTATTTATTTAAAGAGGAAAAACAAAGGATCTCAAGGCTCTCTGTTCCTGTTCGAGATCGATTCGATCACGAAAGGTTGGCTCGCGATTATCCGCACGAAATTCGCAGATCCTGCGTCCTTGTCTCGTCACCTGCATATCTCGTTCGTGTTTCTCCGGCAAATTCCTCTCGCGTGAAAATCGCGTCACCGTAACAAAACTCCATTGTTTTGCAACGTTTCGCGATTATTACCGGACATTCGGTCGACCGAATACGACCGAGTTAAGATTTTTAGTAGCAACAAGCGTGATTCAACGGTGAAGAATTCGTCGCAGAAAGCAACGGCGTGCACCTGCATACGATGCTCGTCCTTCGTGCTTGTCCTCGAATCGTGGACATTTCTCTTTGTATCGTGCTACCGTTCGATCGACAAACGCACAGATTTCGCACCGTTCCAACGTTTATGCGTGCACCTTTGAATATCAAATTCGAAGTAAATCATTGGCAGGCTGCATAGATAGATTCTTTTATTTATAATGCGCGCCAGACAGCTGGCGCTTGCCTGCATGAATATTTAACTCGCGATGCTGCGACAGCTAGAAAAACTATGAAGAGTCGAGGCACGCGACTCGATTTTCAGTCGCGATCTTGCTCGTTTTATTTTTTCTTCTTTTTCGATACTGGGTGTAACGGGGACAGGTGGTGCAGTCGATTAGACGATCGGACAGGTAGATAAAAATGGGGCTTGTTACGAAAATCCTAATGTACGAAGAGTCCTGAGCGATACCAGGAGCGAACTCGACCAATTTTCGTATCTTCTTCGTGGATTCTTTCCATGAAACGAGTCATTATTCCTTAAGAAAATCGTAAATTGCCAGCGTACGTTCTGCAAAGTTTAAGATATCTTGGCGAAGATCGACGATGTACGAGAACAACGAAACGATTATTTATCAAAGTTAACCAATCGGTTCGCGATCGACGAACAACAGCCAGAGCGAAAGGGTTAATCGAGAATGTTCAGATAAGCGAAATCGAAATGGACGAAAGAAGGAGAGAGTTTGCGCGAGTTGAAATCTTTGGTAATTTATCTTGACGTACGTTAATGAAACGGCTGGAAGAAGAGAAGGCGCATCGGTTGCATCCACGACGTACGCGTACGTGCATGTGTGTACAATGCCATTGTACTCTGTGGTGCGCCTACGCCACACGCGATCCGTGCAATATCGTTGTCTCTGCTCCTCTCGCTTCAGCCACGAGACGGGCATAACCTTCTTTCCTTTCTCCTCCCTATCGGTCGCGATATCCAACGCTATCGTCCTCCTCTTGACCGGCTGCTTGAAACAAAAATAACCGGATATTTACATAATATAATGCGCGTGCGACGCGATGCAACATTCTCTTTGTCTCGCAGAGAAACAGAGAGGAAACGCTGCTCCTCGGGTCTCGAACGAGTATTGACGTTTCGCGATGAGAATATGAGAATAGGAAAATTCGAACTTCGTCCGCAAACTTTGCTCGGCAAACGTATAGAAATTGTACGGCTCGAAGGCTTGAAAATAGTAGTTTTGCGTACAAACGTCCACTTGTGTTATTAGCTAATAATGGTTCGACCGATACGTCGGAAGTATGAAAAATTTGAAACTACGTAAATTCCAGCGTGTCTATTTCTGAAAATAATGCCTCTATTAACGGTAGAAGTACACGAGCGAATATCTTAGAACGAGCTTCCTTTCAATCAAACGAACGCTCGACTTGCGTCGTTCTTGGCGGATAATGGCTCGATTGTTAGCTCGATTAATAGCGGAAATATACATAGCGAGGCAGGTTGGCTTCGTAGCACACAACGATGATATGGAATTGTTCTGGGGGATTTACATCGATAATAAAGCAAGAACCAATGTTTACTCGATCGAAGACTCCGCTCGATTCAAGACGTCGCTCGAACAATACTCCATTGCTCGTACTCCATTAAACAAAAACAAGCGATTGAAATGTTTGGCTTAATGATTCATAAATAAAATAAAAAGAGGCACACGAAGACGTTTGAATTGTTTGCGCATCGCGAACGATGACGATCTTGGACTTATAGAATTATTACCCGATTAAATAAACGACGTACACTGGCTGGCTTTCCCTCCTTATTTGCCTTCGTTTATTAATGGTCACGCCAGGCTGCTCCAAACGATAACCAACATTCTGTAACTCGATAATTAAAAAAGATAGCTGCAGATTAAGAGTCGTTAAAACGAGAAAAGCGTCGCATCGCTTTTGGCCGAACAGTCGTTACGGCTCACCCTCGCCGCAAGATTCGAGTTAACGGGACTCCGTTCCAACATCGGAAACCCAAAGTGTCACCATGACCATTTGCGCCCTCGCTAGCGGGCTTACCCTCGAGATTTCTGGTCTTACCAGGAGTTTCGGATGATCCTCCGATCGGAGAACCACTGAGAGTCCCGTGTAATCCGAGATTTTCGCGGTTTCATCCCGTACGTCGTTCGAGCCGCAGCTGTCCCATTCTGATAAGTCTCGCAACTGTTATTGCGAGCAAGCTCTTCGCTTCTTTTTTCCCTTTTCTTTGCTTTCGTTCCTCTCGATCGGTTCACTTCTGCGATTTTCTTGCGGTTCTTCTACCCAACCAGAGGTGACCAACAGGTTTTGAAGGTGGAACGTGATCGTGGAAAATTCGCCTCGATGACGCAATTCGATGCTGCGGCAGGTGATGAAATTCCGCGTTGAACGCAGTAATATTAGCATGTTTCACGAATTTCTGCTATATTTTCCGTTTCACTCTGCCTTTGAATAACCTTGCTGACCAATTTATTCGAGACTCGGTGAAATTATTCGTGCAGATGCGACAAACAATTAGGGTTTTTAACAAGCGAATACGACAAACAGGTATGTCATTCGGGGAATCTTTTGCAAGATTTTGTAACCACCCGTAGCACCTGCTGCCGCGTGCTCCAAATTTTCGTACAGATTTCACCGGTTTCGCGCGCACCTGAGGATAATTTTTCATGCGACAACGCGTTAATATTCGGTCACTCGAACAAAGACAAGTTCTCGTTTACTTTCGAAAACTGGTACCTCGAATCTGCTCGTTTAACGACCGCTTGCGTAATAATCGAAGAAAATTACTTAATCGGATTTCTTGTACGTTGCTCTTTTACAGACGGAAGAAGTGAAGTCGGAAGAGAAGCAAGAATCGGCCGGAGACTCTCCCGCGGAAACGGCAGAGGTCACAACACCTACAGAAGCTAATGCCGCTAGTCCCAATGCTGTCACTTCTCCAGAAAACAAGGAAACCAAAAAGAAGGACAAGGTGAGATCGATTTTGTCGAATAATCACGATGCGCGGAACACGAAACGTTACTGATTATACGGTGCATATGGATAAATTTATGGTTCTACGGAGAAGAAACATTTTAATTGACGATTCTATGAGCCCCAGGGAATACCGAGCGTATAATTATTATTCATCGGGTACGGTGAAAAAGTTATGGAACAGGAACTCCGAGCAGGAAACATCGATTACCGCGGAACGAGAAGAGCTTTATTCGAAATAAAACCGTACACTTAATGCGACGAATACAAATTGTTTCCTCAAAAAATGCATAAAGATATTTCCCGTTAAACCTGCATCGATCAGCAAAAGAACCATAAATTTCATCCTTTACTGTCCTCCACGGTGGTTGAAATTAATCTTAAATATTCCTGCGCACGATAAAAAGAGAAACAGTTCTCTACGAATTAGTTCGCGTTGATCTTATCGCCTGAGTAGACACGTGTTTGCTAATCGTTTAGAAAAATAAGCCACATACATAGTTGCGTGTAATGAGTCTTTCGATCATTATCGAGTGCCGTTTCCTCGTTCATAGATGAAGAAAAAGTGGTCCTTCAGGTCGATCAGCTTCAGCAAGAAGGACAAGAGCAAGTATGCCCGTGAAGAAGCACCCAAGAATGGAGACGTCACCAAGGAGGAGCCTCTCGCGGAGGTGAGTAAAGAGTTTTACCTTATCGGATTCTAGTACGCGTTTCTTGTCTTCCCGTAGGATCGCTTCGTCGACACAAGAAAACCATGAATCTCTATGGTCATTGATTCCGTTAATTGTGTCATCATCTTGCCTTTCGCGGTTTACTATTCTTTCTCGGAGACGAACGAAGATCGATAGAGTGTCGTGGCACGATATTATCCACTCTAGACGTGTACATTTCGTTTCGAATACGAAAGAAAGAGACGGGACATGTAACAATCGTCGCTTCGAGGAACGTTTTGTCGATTCTTCTCGCGTTTCTCGCGAAGGACATAACTCGTGAAAACTTGGCTTTGCTCGCGGATCGATTAAATAGGCAACGATAGTCTTTGTTTAAGGATATTCAGGAATATTCAGCTAGCGAATAGGTTGGCTGGCAATGACATTCCAGTGTTGAGCAATTAATAGCACGCAGCGTGCACGTTGATAAACATCGATGTTAGAATCAATTTGCCTTCGGGAAACTTTACGAATTCGTAAGAGCAGAAGACGTTCGTTAAAAATATTTTTATTGTTATTCGCCAACGCGCATGCTTACGAGTTAATAGGAACCGGGCGATGACGGTGGAACGAGCATAACGCAGGCCACCGTTCACTGCAACATGATTTGTGTTCTCTCTTCGATTCCAGGCGATCGGTATAATCGAGAACGACCACGCGATAACTGTCACGGATCGAAAGCTTGGCCGGTGTTTAATTGGCCTCGAGACGTCTAATAAATCCTCGAGCCTTTCGTGATTATCTGAAATTTATATTTGCAAAAAGTAATCGACCAATGAATATCGTAACGATCGACGTTAACGAAATTACCGATAATATCCGCCTTTCCATTCTTCCTCTTATGTTTTTAATAAACACTGCCGGAGTTGATTACCGTGCCAGGAATCTGTAAAGGTACCTTCAATGTTTGATTTCTACGCTAGTGACTTGCCAGTATCTTCGTATTTTATCCTCGATCGAATCTCTGCCATGTCATTGATATTTCCTCTTCTTTTTGTGACGCGATGCAAATTAACGAGAAACATGATCCAAGTCTCGAGCTTCGTTGCTGCATATCGAGCAAAGAATTTTTTAATTTTGTTATTAGAAAATACCGGTCCTTTTTCTGTTAGTTAATTAGAACGGAACATGTTCTTGCTGCTAAATGCGACATGGTATATTATCACGTATGGAAATAACGCGATCTAATTCGATGTGTGCCATCATTCGACACGTGGACATCCAAAGCGTGACCATACGATTCCTAGCAATACGATAATATCGTATACAGTATCCAATTATATCGAAAACTCGGCATAAAATCCAGAGCTATCGTCTCAGCAGTCCTCCTTAACGAGTTTACCCATCGGCAGATGTTATCTACTCGATACAATTATAACTTACAACCTGAACAATTAATCAGTATTTACGTTTGCAACATTGTAATCGTTTACATTATACAAGAGAAGTAAGAACATCAGTCATTCGATGCTCGGTATAATAAGTGGCGCGGTTTTGCTAGTCTTGTTCGGGTTGTTGGCTGTCGTGCAGCCTAGCCGCGCGTAGGCGAACCTCGTAGCCTCTCAAGATCATCAGGGCTAATCTCCTCGTTTCTTTACCACCTTCTTCATCTTCTCACTGAGTTCTCCGTCTCCTTCTCTCGTTCTCGTCCTAGCAGCCTCCCTTTCCTTCTCTCGAACCTCGCCTGTACAGAGTGGGAAGGGCGAACAGCCGTGACTCATCATCCTTCTTGTTCGTCGTAGCTCGCGAGTTTCGTGATAGGCCGCCATGGAAAACCGGCTTCGAAGTCACTGAATTATCCCCCTTGCTTCTCTTTCATTCGCTTCAGGGCTGTTCCCTCTTCGCCTTGCGCGTGTCTCGCCACGTCTTTGCATCTCGTCCTTTCAGACACGTAATCGTCCTCTCCACCTTCGTGGCCGTGATCCTGAGCAAATAAGTCGTTCGGAAATGTCCACCGATCAAGGTCAGTTAGTTCCATCCGACCCTAGACAGTCGATCAACTTCTACGATTTCAGATTTGGTCAGCGTTCGAATTTTCTATCGCTACCATTTATTTAACGAGCGCGCGATAGAGGGTGTGGGATAATCTCGCCTGAAGGCTATCGTTATAAATACGTTGATCGGCGCATCCAACGATACTATTTATCGGACCAGTTTGTAGGAATCGGTTCAAAGGATGATCGATGAGGTTCGTTAGACGCTCAAAGACGAAGCAACGAAGAAGGAACGTCTAGGAATCATCGAACGATCCTCTCGCCTAGGCACGGATCTCGCGACCGCGACTTTCACTCGCTTCGAACGTAGTTAGCATTCCGAGTCATTAAGGAAGCTGCGAGTGGTGGTGCGTAGCGCTGCGTGACTCGTAATAGCGGGATGTCATTGTGCAGCTTGTTGTGACACCACCATGAGGAATGACTTATTGCTCCTATGGCTTGTTATCCCGTATTTCATACGGAGCATCGTTTGCCCTCTACTTTGCCCTCGTTGCTTCGGATTCCGTTAAAATGCCTCGTTGGATCGTTGAACGCGTTATCCTTGACTCGTTTGTCGCAGTCAACTTGATTTTAGCCGACTCGCTGCTAGTTTTATGATCTCGAAGGATTAAATAATACCCGGGAAAATCTGATTCGATTAGCGAAATGTACGCTGTACGTTGAACGCGTACAGTCCAGTCAATGGACCGTGACTTTTGCTAAGAGTATATATCCGCCCACGACTGTCTGCGACGGTTGTTGCACGGAGGAGGAAGGACGGAGAGTGTTTCGTCGAGAACCTGTTAGTAAATTTAGCACCAGGAACACTTCGGAAACTCGTGCTTTAAATACTGGAGACACTAAGTCAGGTAGACGGTGTACAAACCGGACTGGATTATTACGAGACGTGTCAGGAGTAAGTGGCAAATACAATTAGAAAAGAAAGGCGACAAGGTGCAGGACGATGTTTCGTCTAATGTCAACCAGTGAACTCCATCGACGAGGTCGCTTACCAGACTCGTATCTTAAACACGGGGATAGTTAGGTCGAAAGGTGGACTCGGAGAGTTACACGAATCTATCCGTTAAAAGGTTGCTCGATGCTTTCGCAGGTACATCGACATCGCTCGGATTTGCGTGTGCGGATCTTTTTTACAGACGCGAACGACTACGCTCAGTGTGGTCTGGCGTATAGTTCCACACCACAGAATGGGAATGAGAATGGGAGTGGTGCGCTTGTATTCTTCGAAACATCACCTTCCTACGGGACGTGGAATTATAATGATGGTCCACGAACAGGCCATGTTTTAATATTTGCGCGCCTGACCGTGCATCGATCAAAAGAAATTCCTGGCCAGGATATTCGTACCGAAGGAAAGCAGCAATTAGAAGGGCTCGTTTTCGAGGGAGCAAACATCGACTCGATTTCCTACGGGAAATGGCACGTATCTGTCAGAGAAATCGGTAACGTGGCTCGGCAGGGACCAGTCCACGCTTCTGTTGCTCATTGTGCTCGCTGGTAACACGGTTCAATGGCCCAAACTTCCCGGATACGCTTACCTGTATGCCGCGCGTGTTATTTCGTCGCGAAAAAAGTTACGGTTCGACGTCGAGCTCAACGTTGCCGCTAGCTTCGAATAATTCGGCATTTGCCAAAATGTCAAGTTCACTAATTCTTCAAGTGTCAACTTTTAAACGCTACGTAGAACTCTTTGACTCGACACACCCTTTAGATAAGTTTCCGTCGCGTCGGCGATCGGAGGTTCGAATCATCTTTCGTCCTCCTACTCAAAGTTCATCCAGCATACTCGCGATGCTCGTTCGTCCTTTTTACTCGAGGTGTGCACTCGCTCCGACGCGGCAATTGTACCTTGATTCAGGGACTATCGCTAGGTATCCGCTTTTATTTACCGAAGAAACTGCTCGTTACTCATCGCGCCTCGTGGAGCGACGATATCCGTGCTCCTCCTGCAATGTCACCGCGATAAAGGCGCGAATACGCGTTAAAAATAACGTAGCCGTTTATTTATTGTTCGTTCAGAGGTGTAATTTACGCGACGACATAAATTCACGTAATCGGCTCTCTCTTGTTCTTTTCCTCTTTTTCTATCTCCCTCTCTCTCTTCCTCTCGCGAGCACACTCTCTTCCTCTCAGGTATCATACCTATACTTCGCGAAAGTTTTATGCGATCGTAAACAAGTTCGTAACGGCAACGATCCACGTAGGAAGAGGTTTCTTGCGCGTCCCTCGAGTAGATTTAAGAAAAATCTCTTAGCTTTTTCTCGAATCTTGGGACACATTTTCGAGTGATACTAAATCGCGAATTTAGTGCCGTGACACTTGAACGTCGTCGCTTTTCTCGCGGAAAATTTCGTTGCCGTATTTGGAACGTAAAATATTTGGCGAGTAACATTTTTGAGGCGCTTCAGTCTCGATTGTTTTTCACGATCGAAAGAAAATATCTGCTCGATAGCGAGAAGAAGCATCGTCGAGTGGCAAGTGGCTCGGTTCGATGAAGCAAAGATCGAGGGATAGTTAAGAGGAGCTTAAGGATCGCTCGAGAGTCTTTCCGTCTGCTGCTCGTGTCCCCGGTTTCGCACCTACGCGAATGTCACATTGTTTCCAAGCAGCCACCCTCGCGCCAAAGCGTCGCAAAAGAGGATGTGATTGTAAAGGGGGAGGGGTGCGGTCCCGTGGCTGCTTCTTTTTTTGTCCCCTTTTACTCTAAACTTGCTCGTCTACCAGCAACGTGGGGAACGTGGGGGAGTATCCTGTACGAGTCGCGTACGAAGCGTGGCTTTTATACTAAAAGAGTTGGGACGGTTGAAAACGAAAGGGAAAGAGGGGGTGAGAAGTTGGCACGAGCAGAGTAGTATTAATTAGCAACACGGAATTGTCGCTGGAAGGGTGGTTGGGGGAGTGTAACGACTTCGAAGATGGAAGGTTGTTGCTCGACGTTCACCTCGCGTGACTCGACCCTCGGGAAAA